ACCCTGCCTTGAGTGTGACAGGGGGCGGTGCCCCAACCCCCCAATCGGCCCTACCCTGAGCATGACTGAGGGTGGCATCGCAACCTCCCAATCCGCCCTGCTCTGTGCATGACAGGGGGCGGTGCCCCAACTCCCCAATCGGCCCTGCTCTGAGCCCGACCAGAGGCTGCACCTAGGGATTGGGCCTGCCCTCTGCCACCCGGGAGCAGGCCTAAGCCAGCAGGTCATTATCTCCCGAGGGGTCCCAGACTGCGAGAGGGCACAGGACGGGCTGAGGGACCCCCTTCCCCCCCAGTGCACAAATTTTTGTGCACCAGGCCTCTAGTGTATATATATATATAAAGCAGATTTGTTTTTGCCAGGAGCTTGGGGAAAGGGAGGAATTCACTGCTAACAGACATGAGGTTTCTTTTTGGAGGTGATAGAAACATTCTGGAATAAGACAGTAGTGAGCACAAAGCAGAACAATATGACTATACTAACAACCACTGAATTACACATTTTGAAGGATAAATTCTATGTTTTGTGAATTTCATCTAAAAAAAATGTCTGGATAAAAAGTAATCTATATCCAAGACAGACAGAAACAATCCTTTTTATGATTTGGCCTCAGAAGTCACAAAGCATTCCTCCTGACCTGTGCACTAGAAGTGAGTCCCTAAGTCTGGCCCACATTCCAAGTTAGGTTTTACACTTATATCATGAAACTCATTATCCTTTCAGTCTCACATGGGGAGGGTATTAACGTCGCCCATCTACAGATGAAACTCAGGCTCAGAGAGGTTCAATACCCTTCCCAAGGCCACAAGGACAGCGGCGGTAGAACTCACATTGGGACCAAGAACCAGCTGACTCCAAACCTGTGCTATTAACCTCCATCAGTGGTGGTTTTTCAGCCAACACATCTTTTGTGAAACCAAAGACACTTGGGACCACCCCCCTGCCCCAGGACCTCTTAAATCATTTCTGGGGCTTGTTCCATACACTTGAATGTTTTTCAGCTCCCCAGGTGTTCCTCAGGTGCATTCTACATATAGAACCACCCCTATGTGCCTGATGGTTTTATACTATTAACATGGGTAACTGACTCCAGCTGGATGGTGAGTGCCTTGGGAGCAGTGCCCCTGCCCAAGCTTCCTGTGACTGCCACTGTGACAGCACAATGCCTGCCTGCAGAGGCAGGCACTCAGGAAATATCATTGGACAGAAGGATTCAGAGCAAACTGCCACTCAGAATGTCAACTGCCAAAGGATTCCGCTGCAACTGAGGGGCACACAGTTGGCGCTTGGGAGCTGGCCTATCTGGCCATTCTCTCCAGGGGGCAGGAGGTTCACGGGCCCACTTGGTGGGCAACCCCTGCTGCCAACTGGGGCACCTCAGCTCAGCCCAGAGCAGAGGTGTTAGGAAGTAACTCTCTACCCAAGCTTCCTCTCCCAGTTCCCAAACTTAGAGCCCCAGCAAAGGGCCTAGAATTTACTGAGGCTGTTCATTCAACAGCCAATCAATCAACATGGATCACCGAAGCCGATCTCGCAGCAGAGGCCTGAGCCGCATCCCTGGGACTCAGCCCCGAACCCCCAGTGCCCCACTCCCCTTGCATGTGGAACAGGAGGCCAGGGAAGGAGAATGGGAGCAGCGAGAGCTCCCTAGTCGGAGGACTGCTATCTACTCGCCCCCGGAAACTGAAGACTTGCCAGACAATGTTATGGGTAAGGACAAGCTCTCCCCTTCTCGGCAAAAGGGAGGTGGCTTCATATTTTTCTTCCTATACCCACAGAAAACAGGGCTCAGGGAACAGAAAGCACAACTTACAATGGACAGGACTGGGGTGAGGGATGAATTGGGAAAGGGCAGGTTCCTATCTGCCTCAAAGGGTTGTCACAGGACCAAAGATATAATATGTGAAAGTAACTGAAACCAGGACAGGCTGTTGGGAACTTTATTAGGTGTTATTTACAAAACCAAGTACTTACAATAGCAAATCCCACGTGTCAGGAGCCTTGGGAAACAGATGAGTTTGACATCGACTTCGACCCCAGGTAGCTGACAATCTAATAGAGAAAAGTCAAACAGTTAGGATAGCTTCTGTGGGATGATTCAGAAAGACAAGGGCTCAGGAAGACAGGAGGGGTCCTGGGGACATCAAGACTGCCAATGGTCCCCCTCTTTTCGGTGGGTGCTGGGGGGTATCTCTCCCGGCCTGCCCTTGTCCTCACCTGCCATTCTAGCAAATGGGTGGGTAATGGGGTAATTGTCGGAAGATGGAACAACACTGTGCTGGGAGAGAAGGTAAGTTCTGGGAACGTACCAAGTGCTGATTGAAAAAATAAGACGTACCTTAAGGCAGACAGTGTTAAGCCACCAAGCTGTGACTTCCCGGCTGGAAAAGTTCCTTTCCTGCTGGAAGAGAATAAATTGTCTTAAGATATCGCTTTTCAGGTTAGACTTTTCCTCTCCAAGTTTTCCCAGGACTTAAAAGGGCTACGGCCGGAGCGGGAAGTCAGGGCACTGTTCACCCAGCTCAGCGCCAGGAAAAGGAAAAGAAATGTTAAAGGTATAAAAGGCACACTTTTCAGAGGGAGAGGGTTCATTTCACCTTTGGGGAGGAGGCATGTTGTTGTGCTCCAGTGAGGTTTTTTAGGAGAGGGGGTGGGGAAAGATGAGAAGAATGTGAAACAGGCTGAGTGCGAAGACCCCTCATCCTTAGTGGAGGCAGGCCAGTCGCAGCAGGGGTGGGAGGCCAGTCTTCAACTATGCTTTTTGGAAGACATGGGCCGAAGGATGAGCAGAGCGTAAAACAATGCTGAGAGCAGGCATTTTCATTTCACGTAAATGTTTTGCAGTACATAAACTTTTGGCCAGCGCTGTTTATTTGAGAGTACTAATAATGGGAAAGTCCCTAGTGACTAATTAGAAGGTCAGACTTCTCATTTTAACTTATTGTTTCTAGCCATAAACTAATTACGTTTGACATGTTGCATAACCAGAAGAATGTTATTAACCCAAGTCCCATTTCCCACAG